TGATAAAACAAATACATGAACAAAAACAGAAGATCAAAACTTGCACAAATTGCACGTTGTCCCAGAAGCAAAGACTACTATCAATTGCAGGCGAAAGGTGTATTAGAACTGTTAGAATGCTAACATGATACCTATGGTCCATATTGAGCCTCTACCTTATATTAAGGTCCTTTCCAGATTTTTTTTTCCCCAAAATACACTCTACTGTCAAATTAACAGTGATCTATTTCCATCACTTTTGATTTGCCTTCATCAGACTGCCACTATCCCAGTAATTAGAATTCAATCTATTCAAAGAGAAACTCCCCCCAATTGAAGGTTTTGATAAAACTTTATCAAGCCTTGCAGATCTACTGCTCATTATGCTGAAGTCTTTAGTTTATTCATAACTGCTAAGACTAATGATGCAAGCACTCATCAGYAATAATATCTTAGCTCAGCACTCTTTCTTGATGATATTATTTAGACAAGCTGAGCAAACTCTCCATAGTTCCCATGTTGATGCTATTTTATCTTGGAATACAGCAAGAAAAACCCAGCATCAGGATAGCTCTTTGAAGCCTGTAAAGGTCAGAAAATCACAGCTTTCAAAGTGGTAGGCTTTTTAAAATCCATCAAGAAAATCTCCTTTTCAAATAGCAAACTGAGTTTACTGATGTGTGGCTAAATCAAATTCTTAAAATATACTGTTTATTAAGGATTACTTGCCTTTTAAATTTGTAGAGGATAAAAGCTCCAACTACGACTAGACAGATAACAAAGAGAACGACAATAGCCCAGTAGCCACTGCCTCCTCCAAGCCTTTCAGAGTCTGAAACAGAAAAAAAGAAACAAAAAAATAGTTTAGCACATCCTCTTTCAGATCAGTCATATTCCACAGCTTTCTTCTGAACAGCAAAGCTGAAAATATTATTTGTGTAATTTCTCATTCCATCTGTAGCCTCTTCAAACAAGCAACAACACAAATTTAACTGGTGACTTGCCACTGAAGAAGAGGGGACAAATTTCAGATAGAACTCATGAAGGCTGAATTATTTGCACTCATAGTATTGCTTTTTTTCCTAGGAATCTCAAGTTATCACAGGAAATGATCACGTATCCCAACTATTTATGATGCAAAAGCAGGGCTGAATTTATTTCACAGATGGAGAAACTAAGCTCTGAACAATGAACGGGAAAGGCTGGAATGAACATGTGGTTATTTTAGTTTTAGCTTTTTGTACAGGCTAATGAATGTTCTCTCTTTAAGCAAGTCATTTCTACAGTGACCAGACTAGATGCTGCAGCAAAACTGTAGCATGATACTACACTAAAGATGGTAAATAGATACCTTTGTCTTTTCCAAGGAGCTGACAAATAAAATATCATTTAAATCATCATTGACATAAATTCATTTTTCTCAACAAAGGTGTTCTGCCCCAATACACTTGAGTAACAGGTAAGAACAAATTATGGGAGATGATATTCAAAGATGATAGGACAATCTTATAAAAGGTTCTGCTTATAGCTGAACCTTCTGGTTAAAGCATTTCTTTAACATAACGCTGTTCAAAATACATACTCACTCTCTTCAATCAGTTTCTAACTAGATAGTGTATGCAGAGGTGCAGAAAATACATGCCAGAAAACCCTGCTCCCAGTTGTTTTAAAGGAGAAGGTAGTTCATGTTCTCAGGACATGTCTGGCAATGGAGCAGACCTGCATGCAGACCCTACAGCAAGTTTCAGGTTAGTTGATCTGTCTATGAGACACAGTTGGGTATCACACAGACATACAAGGCAATGTCCCAGAYGCACGGAGTTTTATTAGTAGAGTTAATGACAGAGAGAGTGGGGAAGCTTTGCTTTCTTGGCAGCTATTGCAGCCAAATTGCCTCTAAGCTCAGCAGGTGGCTTTTCCTGAGGCCGGGTTTGCTCTTCCCTCATGGCAGTGTTTTATTGAGTATCATCATTTATTAATGCCATGGATACACAGAAAAGACCAAAAGTGAAATAACAGGAGGAAGTTTCTGATAGAGATTACGAGATGATTAATTGAACGGTATGATACAATTAATTTGTCAGTGATGGTTAACAAATACCAAATGTGTGAATATGTATGCATATGTGTGTGTATGCATATATATATATAGTTACAAAATAACATAAAATCACAGAATGGTTGAGGTTGGAAGGGTCTTCTAGAGATCATCTAGTCCAACTCCCTGCTCCAGCAGGGACACATAGAGCACATGGCACAGGGTGGCATCCAGGYGGGTTTTGAAGACCTCCAGAGAAGGAGACTCCACAACCTCCCTGGGCAGCCTGTTCCAGGGCTCTGTCACCCTCACAGGAAAGAAGTTCTTCCTCACATGCAGATGGAATTTCTGGTGTTTCAACTTGTACCCATTACCCCTTGTCCTATCACTGGCCACCGCCGAGAAGAGTTTGGCCCCATTCTACCTACACTCTCCACTCAGGTACTTCTACATATTGATCAGACCTCCTCTTAGTGTTCTCTTCTCTAGGCTAAAAAAGCTCAGCTCACTTAGTCTTTCCTCATACGATAGATGCTCCGATCCCTTAATCATCTTGGTTGCTCTCCCTCTCTAGAAGCTCCACCTCCCTCTTGTACTGGGGTGCCCAGAATTGCACACAATGCTCTAAAAAATATCTATACATATATATATAGAGAGAGAGTTTTCAATTTTTTTTCCTCTATCAGCCATTGCCAGGTTAATTTGTTGGGATATTTGTTGATATAATTTACCTGAATCAGAGTCAGCTAAAGTCACTAAGACCCAGTGTCCTCCTCGCAGAAAGAAACTGATGTTGTGCGCGTTCAAGGCTTGCTTTATAGCCACTATCCTCTGAAAATATAAAAGAGAAGGTCAGACATCTTTCCTTTGCTTCTACACAACTTTCTGCACAGGAAAACCTCTTGTTCATTACATGGCGAGAAACACACATGTCAGAAAATATTTGTCAGCAATGACTTGACATCTCAAATAAATTCTACATTTAAAAAATCATGCAAAACTCTACAAATTCTAAATGCTGAAAATGTCCTATCTTTTTAGCCAAATCTTTCTTTCTGCTTACCAAATTCTTTACATTTACCCATTAYGTGACAGACTTTTATCTCATTTACATGCACTGTCCAGTTTACCTCAATCGTAACTCACACAATGCATATTCCATATTGAAAACTTCATGTAATACCAGCAGACAAGTTGCAATGTCACTTTAGATTTCTTATTATGAAAATAAACTGTTTGATAGTGAACAGTACGTCATAATTTAACTCACTTTCTTAGCTATATTGGGATGGATTCCTTTTATAACCAATTTTTGACAGTATTCTCTACAAAGACATAGTTCCACTGATGTGGAAAAAAATAGGATTCCTTCTATTTTTCATCCAGTGGACAGAGCATACTAAAATATAGGCTCTCACATTCTCACGGGGCAGAACCATTAAATATACCATCATATTGTAAGCCCAAATGACAAATTGTCTGAATTTTCCCTTTCACTTGCTTGCACCTTCAACATGGGTAATTTTCTAAAAGATCAAAGCCAGTTTTATAGTGCATGCCTTATAATTCAGGATACAGCTTCCCATAGGATGCCAAATTAGAAATATACTTTATATCCATGAAACCTTCAAGAGCTACTTCTTTTATGATATTATCAATTATGGTACTCATTTTTGACAAGCCTTTGCAGTATAATAGACAGAAATCCCTGCAGTCTCCCTCACATTATGGACAGAGATTTCACAGAAGTTCAAACTCTAACATGCTCGCTCATATTGAGGGATATCTAACTTCTAAACTGACTTTATTACATTTTTTTGTGGGGTAATTATTCAACATAAAGGGGATATAAGCGTGTCCTCACTCTTTTTACAAGAAAATTACTCCAGATAGTTCTTAAGTACTTGCCTTTTTGTCCAAAATCTGAAGACAGAATACATATCACAACTATATTGATTAGCACACTTGAAAGCGATGCTGGCACTGCTGAAATATTATTCAGTCTCTGTCCAAGCTTGTTCACTCTTTCATAGGCTACAATGCAAATGGGACCACTACTATCAGCTAATCTAACTTTCAGGCATGAAATATAATCACTGAGCCCCATAATTTATCTGTGGATACATCATATTTTCCTGGCAAGTATTTGAGGAATTCAATATTTGCTTTGGCTTTTGTTTAAGGAAAACTTTTTCATTATTTTTCTATCAACGTTTGTGTTCACACCCAGACTTTTCTGAATTAAACTTCCAAAGACCAAARATTTGAATCTAATTTCTCATTTCTAACTGTGAATTCAGCCAARTGTTCTGACTTGTGTATTTCACTATACGATTGATGAACGTTTCCATATTCATTGGGATTTCTGTATCATGAGATATTTATTGAGCACATGCATTGATTTCACCTCTCCAACTTTTTAAAAGAACTCTGTATTCTGAGCTCTCTAGAGTCTCTAAGTCAAGGTATTTAGACTGGCACTCTATTTTTTTTCCCCTTCTAAAATTTCCAATGCTAAGATTAGAGAATGTAACCACATGGGTCTTGTACTGTGATAACAGAATGTAAAAAACAACAAAAACAACTATATATATATATATATATATATAAACACCCTTCAAACTTACATATCTAAGGATCTTACTTGCTCATTCTGCCAAAGCAAATCATTGGAATTTTCCTTTTATTAGCTATTAGATAGACCCCCAAACCTTCTTCAGAGCCACTGTTTTCCTACAGGTTTAAGGCACTTTAATTTGCTCTTTCAAATGGATTCATCCCWTCTGACATTAGACATGTAATGAAAGCATTTAAATTAAGAGACCAAGTCTTCCTCTGTAGTCAATGATATCAACAAAATAATTCTGAAATTGCTATGCTATCAAAATCAGGTGGGAACACCCTCAGCCTTTATTCCTGCATGCATTATTTCTGAAAGAAAGTGGGTTTTTGTCCAAATGGAAACAAATTACAGAATTATGCAAAGGGCTCCTCTTTACTACTATACTTTCAGCTTATTAACAATCTTTGTACTGTTGGCTTCTTTTATGAGTATGGAATTATATACCAGATTAGTAATGAAGTTAATAAATAACCTCAGGTCATACAAATTCACGTAGAATGCCACTAGAAACTGCCCCCCCAAGCAGGTGCTCTCTGCTTGTACAAGAAATTATTGCCTTCAATGGACCTTCTGAAATCACACAGTATTGAAAGTTATTTTTCCAAGAACAAAAGGGTTCTCTTTAAGAGAAGATATTTCATAACTAAATCTAATGTAAAGATTTTAGGGGCAGGTCAGCCCAACGTRCAGAATATTTTCTGCATTAAAGGAGAGTCTGTACAATAAAATCAGAACACAGACATGAGAGCTGTCACTAGCAGCACAATAAATAGAATCCTTTCAGTGAAACACAAGAAGAGAGAAGTGCCAAGGGCCTTCAAGCTTGTCTTGGCACATTCGTCTTTAAACTAGTGTTACTATGAGTCCTTTTCAGCTGACTTAAGCAGTTAATGCTTCTAAGTTTACAGAGGGTATATTTTAAGGATATTTCCTGAGTCACAATGGTTTCTGATATAACAYGTATTTTAACAAAATTTGAGCCATTCAATTCAAAATCAAAAAGTTTCAACAATTAAAGTAACATCCCTTAGCAATAATAGAAAAACAGAAATTTGGACAGCTTGTTAAGAAGTTTGACTCTACAACCTGCACTCTTTAAAACAATCAAAGTGTTTTGATTGTTTTAAAGATCGATACCAGGATGCTTGCCTTTATCATTACATAGCATATGTTACTATATTTGCTTCCTTTGCTCCCTCATTTGCTCCTATTTTCTGTATGTGTTAGCTCCTGACGTGCAGCTGTTGCCCAAATTTCAATTACTTTGACCTTCCAGTGCTTCTATAGTTTCAGAAACTATAGCCAAGGGCAGGTCTTCAGGGGGTACCATTTATAATAGAAATTCTGCTCTCTTAAGGTACTCTACTCTTCCTGATAGCCACATACTTCTCTCTCTCTCTTTTTTTTTTTTTTTTTTTTCAACATGTGATTGTTATTCTTTATCCTTCAAAATAACTAGCAGAGTATTTTTTACATTAAAAAAATCAAAAAAAGAAAAGAGAAAAAAATGAATATTGTTGATGATATACTTCAAATTGCCTTGAAGTACAGTACTAGTAATAGTGAGAAAGAGAATTAGCACATATAACATTTTTGCACTAAAACAAAAAGTCTGCAGAACCCAAAGGTCTATCATCACCTATTTATTATTATTATTATTATTAAAAGTATTCATATCATATACATGTGGAATAAAGGGAATCAGTTTCCTTTGAAAATTGCACTTTGCTTCTTAATCAAGTTGAAAGATTCRAAGACTTTTCAAGTGGTAATGCACACATAGCTTATGCTGGGCTTCCTACTAAAGTAATTATTATTAAAATCAACTATCTCCTACAATATGATTTTGGACTCCCAGGAATTCTGACTGTGATTACACAGGGAAAGCAGTAAGGCTTTGGGGCTGCAGTGGAGAGGCAAATTCTGTGCATTCACACCATCCTCCATGTGTTTTGCAATAAAACACCCATTCATTTACTTGAACAACATCAAGAATACTCCTTTGGACCTTCTCACATATACTGCATCAATTCCATGAACAATCTACAAGTATCAGGGTAATCTAAAGGGCTCTTTTTACCTACTTTTGCAGCTCTGGATATTGTGACTTCATTTCAAAAAGTGCTAAAATGCCTTTTAAAATTAATGATACCTTACACTCTTAGTGTCTGTAACTGCCAAGACTTGAATTGCAAGAAACAAGCACAGAGCTGAGATCTGCTCCTCTATCACAGYACAAGGACAAGTATCACAAATCCCAAGTCAGAAGCAAGGGCCAGTCACACTATTTTTACTGGCCTGCAGCCTTTTATTACAGAGGAGGTTTGGGAAAGGGAGGAAGAACTTTATGTCTGATTTTCATTGCTGTGATCATTGCGTTGGTTTCTTGTTAACTGAAAGGGATATATGCTCATAAAAGACAGGAACTACCTGCTTGATGCTCMTTACAAAATAGGTCAACTTTTATAGGTTGACCTATAGATTCTATTTCGATTGTATCTAAAATCTGCTTCTAAARACAGTGAAGAGATGGTGTTTCCCTCTTTAGAAACACCAGTGTTCAAAAGGCACCTTTTGCCCTACTGTATCTTCACAGACTGGCAAACCAGCACTAGTTTCTGTTCAAAACGTATTATTCTCGAGACACACACTGGTAAAAACAAGCACAAGAACACGTGCTGCTGGAAAGCACTGTACATTGTCCACAAAGGTATCAACAGGACCAACCTTCAGTCTGTCACAGGCTGGCATGGAGCAGGATAATTGTTTCTTCTCCCTCTTCTCCTGTGATAGGATCTACCCTTACATCAGAAGGAGCACTACACACTGTCAGACACAACAGCCCTAACTGTTCCTAGCACTTACATGTCTCTCCAGATGACAGTGACATCTCCATGTGATTAGGGAACACCKCTTAATGCCAATAAATGCAATTATAGTACAGCTGTTGGTTTCCAAGTAGGATTGTCCCAATTAGACACATATTTCTCTCATTACCTTATCACTAGTTATACTCATCTTCCTCTTGGGCTGGTTTGCTGGTAGCAGCACATGCAAGTCAGCAGTTGTGGGCAGACCAGGTTTCACAACYGTCACAAGAGTTTCTTCAGGTATATTAGTTTCCTGTGCAGACAAATGTATGTCGTAAATCACCATACATAATTCTAATATTATATAAAATACATAAGCATTTCTACACAGGTCTTTAAAAATTAAGAATCTGAATACCAAAGAATTAGAGTGGATTTTACATAATGCTAAATTATGAATAAAGCCAAATATTAACCAACTAATCTATAAGTGGCTCTTTGCAGATTTGAAGTGTTATCATTATTATCACATCAAATTATTTTAGTGACAACATGGAAAGAAGCAAAACTAAGTGGTATGCAGTTTTAGCAAAACTCTAATGGCTGCATATTTTTATGGTGACTTAAAAAAAAAAAATCCTAAGTGGTTCAGAATCCTTTGTGGATCATTTAAATGCTTAGTAGACTTAAARGGGCATATTCACTATACTTAACTTTAGCTTAGGGAGACTACTTTTTCATGTGTGTTTAATTAGCAGAGGAAATGGAAATGCAAATGGAAATGAACTCATATCACAGCTGCTCTTCCTCAGTACTGTTTTTGCATTATTATATAGAATTAGTGTGTGAGGGGGCATGAATCTGGGAACATACCTACCACRTGAGTGTGGCAGTCATATATGACATATGCCATGTGGTGCCCATCTTACAACTTTTTTTGTTTTTTCTCCACAGTGTATAAAGGGCTCCTGTTCTTGTATGTGGAAGTTGTTTGTAGGTTTACACACAGTCTTCCACACAGCTATTTAAAGCACCTAGATTCAATTCCTGAAACTGTTTTTATGAAAACCTGCACTCCACTCACCCCCACTGAAAGTCAAAAGCATTCTTTCCAAATAAGCGTTAGCAATTTTAATTTTTATTCCCATATTCCTCTCTGCATTATATAAGACAGTGACAAAATTATAATGACAACACCCTGGGAATTTTTCAGAAATTACATTAAATTCTTCATATAGTTTTGCAGATGATTTAGTAGTTATTAAAATGCACAGGCAATTTTATAAGGAATCTAATTATTTGTTTGACTGACCCTGGTTATGGAATGGGTTTAAGCTGATARAAGTCGGAATTTATTTTGATTTGACATGTGAACCTAAAAAAGGCATGAATGGTATGAAGTAAAAACTCCAGATCCTGAACTCCCCTGTGCACTACTGCAAATCCAGAAAAGGTCCAAAGACCTCACTGGCAAAAGCTGCACCATAAGGCTGAACCTTTCTTCACACAAAAGCCATTTTAAGAACATTGCCAACCCACAACTTGGAGATATTCTCCTCAAGAGAAGTCGGTTCACACCTACTGCATTCTTGGCAGTGTGTGCACCTGAAGAACACAGTTCTGGAACACTCTCTTTTTATGGAGTGCTCATTACTTATGCCCCAGAACTGCCGCATGACTTTGTACTGAGGCTTCACCTACAGGATTCATCTGTTCCCAATCCAGATTTCATTTGCAAACATGATCTAAAAGATCAGCTGTAGCAAAAACATGTTCAGGCATTTTATGCAATTTTCAAAGTTATACACATGACACTGTATATTTTTTGCTTTGTTCTACTTTTTTAAAAATTTTTATTTTACAATGAGAACAAATCCTTCATAATGGACAGTACCCATAAGTTTATCACATTTAAGCTACTCTTTCTGTTTTGGAGTCAGCACTATTTGCCACTATGGCTTTGCCAAATCCCAGAGACCAGCAGTTAGCATTAATTACCAATTAGGCTCTGTTAGAACTAAACTTTCTGTACTACAGTATCATCATCCACAGACAGCATGTAAAAGTGACACCAGGCTCAAACTTGTTGGAAATGTGGCTCGTGGGGTTCATTTTACTGTTTTGCACTGCCTACATTTTTCTAAATGAGAAGGCACTAACTTAACCTTCAARCTTTATGACTGGAGAGGGAACATTTTATGAGCAATTTGAGAGAGCACCTTTGCAAGAAGTCGAGTTACTACTCGCCCTATGTCTTCCCTCCATTCTGGTATGTCGGGGTTGTACATGTCCAGGTGCTTAGTAAACTTCAGAGGAAGAACATGAAAATGATCTGAAATGGCAAAAGAAACATTTTTGAACAATTACCAAATAGAAGTGCAAAAAGAGTTTTGCAGAAATAAAAGTTGAAAATATATTTTCAGCGTTATGGGAAGTGTTGTAGTACCCAAGAAACCTATTGCTATGTGGAAGGAAGGAAGGAAGGAGGGAAGGAGGGAAGGAGGGAAGGAGGGAAGGAGGGAAGGAGGGAGGGAAGGAGGGAGGGAAGGAGGGAGGGAAGGAGGGAGGGAGGGAAGGAGGGAGGGAAGGCAAACCCTTTCCCCAGGAGTCTACACTCTAAGCAGCATGAAGCAAGATTACACTCCTGTCAGCCAGTCAATTTCTTTCTTTATTTTGCTCAACATCATCAAATTTGTGCCTAAAGACAAAAAGGCAATAAGGGAAGGATGGGAAGAAAAAAAAAAAAAGATTTACATTCATGCTCTGGAGTTATAATCTTTCCAATAATTTTTCCTTAAGTAAACTGCACAGACATGATTAGTTTCTTTCATTTTTAAGGGGAATGTGCCAGTGGATTCTATCCTCACTGAATCATAAACATCTGTTTTTTTTGCTCATTTCATGTTCCTGTTTTTCCTGCAAAATGAATACTTTACGTTTTCCATAAGCTGGCCATGAAGATAAGAACAGAAATGACATGCTAAAGGCTAACTACTGCCTTCTTTGAAATAATAAAAATAAGATACGCTCAACACTTTTATGGATATTGTCCAAAATATCTGAAATGCTACAAAAGGGCTATTCCTTAGAAAACAGGCCTCTAAATAATCTTCCATTTCTCCTTATAGGCTCATTGGAAGAACATCTGAATAATTTAATGCAAAGCAGATAAAAGAGCTCCCCTGCAATAAATGAATCATTCAAATCTGGTTTCCTGAACAGTTTAGATAGAATCATATAGAATTTTTTTGAAGGATTTTAAGAAATTTCCCTCATGAGTAGTACCCTTCTTGTTCTWTGTATGAGGATTTGCCAGTGCTAACAAGAGAAGCAATGCTGGCAAGTCAAAGACACTAAGCCAGTCATACTAATACGGTTATATTTTTAAAGCTTTCTAAGAAATGGAGGCATTTACAAGTTGTAGCATAAACATCAAATTCATTTTTCCTAGAAAAAGYGTGAGGGAGATGGAGTTCATAACAGCTCTGTTTAGCATGAGTGTTTTTTTACCATTATTTTACACTAATGATACTAAAAGAAAAACTAACAGAATCTTCCTTCACTGTTTAGGAAATAGAGATGTATCATTTTGTGTATCTCTTGGATACAGGAAGGGTTTTGGCGCTGTATAAAAAGAAACTTTTTTTTTTTTTTTTTTTTAAGATACAACAATTGCTACATGTTACAGTACAAACACTAACAGAATAATTCCTGAGCATTGCATTTTTCATGGCATATCATCCCTTGTCAGACCAGGCCATAACGCAAAGTAAAAGCTGAAGGATTACACAATATTTATAAGAGAGCTCACTCTTATTTTTCTTTGTTTTTACTGTAAAAGTACATATACACAACTAAGTTTTCTCTTTTTGGAGATATTAAAACTATTGTATTTAGGGACTCTTGCAAATTCTCTACTCATAGCAAAATACTGCTTTAGTACATAAGAACCTTATAAGTTTGGGAAATACATTAACATTTTGTATAGGCAAAGGAAGCAAAGGATTTCACAGAAAACTATTCCTACAATCACTTCATGGGATTCAACTTCATGGGATTAYCCTTCAAATTTAGAAATTGTACATGGCATTAGAAATAATTTTACCATGGGTTCCACCTAAAGTGCTGGTTTAAGAGGTATTCAACATAAGCATGTGTGACAAACAAAAATATTCAACACAAGTAAAGCGCCTTACCAAAAACATGGACAACCTTTGAATCCTGAAGCATGGAGTTCCCACAAGAAGCTTGCACTGTAACTCTAACTTCACCTGTCTCAGCAAATCTTGCCACCAAAAAACTCTCCAGTGTAAGAAGTGGCTTCAAAAACAAGAAAAAGTTCAAAATAGAKTTTTAGCAAGAACCATGAGAATAATGTCTGAAGTGGTAGTCATTAAAAAAATGCAGCCAAAAGATTTCACATGAATCATTTTCTAGAATAGTAGTCAATATTTCAATAAATAGCTCAATTGCCATTTATAGGCAATTGGCAGTTTTCAACATAGGAACTTCCTTTCTCCTAAAGGATTTTCTCTAYATAGAATAGCTGCCAGATTGGGTAAAAATTTCTTTTAGAATAATTGGCAGAGCATTAGGCTTGSATTCAATTCCCAGTGAAACAAATGGATTTTGAATCAGGCTCACTAAGCTTTATCAGATCACATTCAGGAAGCCATTGGCCTCAAAAAGTGTGATGTGTAGTTAAGATCAAATGGACTTTTTCTGTCATTTTACAGCATGATCCATGGAAGATCATCAATCTGTAACTTCAAGGTGGAGCTCAGATRTTCTGTCTCCTAATCACACCTGAATGAATTACAAAACCCTCCACAACACTGGAGTGCCTGTTCTAACTGTGGCTTAGTCACTAAAAATCCACAGATACAGACCAGAATTATCATAGATGGCACATTTAAAAGAAAGAAAAAAATCTTATGCTTATCTGAAAGTAGCCCGGTCTCAGAGACAGCTATTACTCTTTCGTGAGAAAAATATTTTACTTATCTACTTATCTAACATTAAAAAAAAAAAAAAAAAAAAAAAAGAAATTAATCCAGCTAGACAAGAACTATTTTCAATAGAAATACTTGCATCTTCATTGCTTGAGGACATTTTTATGTAGATTTCTATCTCAAAATAAATATCTTGTTTGAATGCTCTTAATATTTTGATACCCTTTTAAACAGGAAATGGTCTGGAAATTTAAATCAATTCTAAAAGGAAAACTTTCATTTTCACATGTGTAGCAATAAAGTAAAATGAACAACTTAAAATACGTGATTAAGCAATGGGATTCAGGTAATGTTTGTTAGAGGATATGTGAAATGATAGATGGCCTACATGAAGTTATATAAAATAAGAGTAATTTCGTTAGTGTAAAAAGTGTCACTTAGTCTTTATTGGGAAAAGGCTGAAAATAATCTGAAGTCAAAAGCTGATTTTCCATAAGCTTCACATACCTGAAGACTGTTTCCTATCCACCAGTAGAAGACTGTCAAATTAGGATTCTTTGGCAATATGATGGCTGTCAGGTTCACCTCCTGGTTTCTGCCAATGACTGGAAGCACTTCCAAATTTAAAGCTTGCAATGGAGCTGGAAAAAGTTCCCAAAATTTCACTGAACAAGAGCTCATCAATTTACCAATGCCCGTTTCATCAAATGCTGTATAGCAGCCTGCAAAAAGATCTCAGTAAATCCGGAAATTATTTCTCCCTCCTCCTCTTTTTCTGTGTGGAAAAGTATGTTTGGAAGGACTGCATTTCAATCAAATAAAAAAAAAATCACAAACAAAATCTGAGAGCAATGTGGCAGATGAATGTACTTTTACAACCTATTTTTTTTTCTGCCTGCATATCCAATTCTAGAGACCAAAATCAAATATATTGCAGTTAAAAAGAGAAAAAGACAATCTCAGCTTTTTCATTTAAGCAATGAAAGATCAAATGAACAGAAGTCTAATGGACCTCTCGAAGTTCTACGGGAAAAGCRGAAAACTGAAAAAGAAAATTGCTGTTTATTTTCATTATAAAATATGAAAAAATGTTTAAAAGACATTCATCACTAAAACCTTTTTATGTGCTTCTTAATGTTGTACACGTATTTTGTTTAACAGTACAGTAATACTATGGAAAGAAAWCTGCTGTCTCAGAGCTTTTCTTATATCTTTTTCAGAGTGCTCACAGATGAAGGATTTACAATATTATAAAGTGATAACTAGGATTTCTTAAGTTTCAGGTTCTATTCAGGCTATGAAATTGCTGTACTGTCCAAAACTCATTCATTACATAGAACGAATACTAACCAATTAAAATTTGTCCTAAGTACCTTTTAACTTATTCAAAGGCCTTTCATCTCAATTCAAAATTAAAGGTACTTACATTAGTCCAGGGCCTTTATCTTACTCTCTTTCATTAACGAAATTATTGTCCATTCATTCTGACTAGGAGATTAAACATCTGAGAACAGGTAGCCTCAATTCTATATCTGACCCCCTTTTTTTCCACTTCAACCAAACTGTCTGCAGCTTCACTGGAACATAAAATACTATTTTTATTCTGCTTTTTCTCTGTTTACATGTAAGTGAATTCAAGAAATAGTGTGTGGTTAAGCAACTGATTTCRTCATGCCTTCTTTATGAAATTGAATCAAAACACTCTCTTAGAACACTTACAATACCAGCAATGGCTGGTGTCTTGTGGAAAATTTGGAAACTGCAGGAATTTCATCAGATCTGCTATTCTTCATAATAAGKTTTCTTTCTTTCTGATAACACAAGAAGCCGAGAAGAAATCTGAATCATGACTGATTTTGCAGTTTGCCATTCCTATTCATTAAAGATATAATAATAATTATTGTGACTCCTTCCATTTGTCTCAGTTAGACAATTCCATAATGGCTTCTTTGTATAAAAATTATGATAGCAGCCTTGGATATACATTTAGGAATGAAATTGATTTATGTGATTTCTGTTTTACCAAGCTATAATTTCAGTACATTTTCTCAAAGCTTCCTGATTCTCTATATCAGTTTCTACAACCTCAGCCTTTCACAMTCCCACACTGCAGGGATCATGGTTTCAATCACACACACAGACACAAAAATGTATGCCTAGTCATTCTTCCTTTAAAGAAAAATACTCTGGATTATCTGCTCATACGATCAAGCTTGCTCTAGTTTCTCTTACAGTTTATTACCAAGTTTTAGATCTTGTGCTGTAGACTTTGTGCCCTGAATCAGGAACTGGAATTTGGATCACAATATAATGCTTATTTAATTGTTCTTCAATAATAGTATATTCTATGCTGATAGAACTTGACAGGAGCCAAAAACAACACCTTCATCATTCGTCCCTCATAAAATGTTTGGAAAGAGTGAAAACTTAAAAATTTACGGACAATTTTGCTTTCARGATATTCCACAGAGGAAAAAGAAAAAGGAGAAACAAGGCTTCTCTGGAATGTTGAAACATCAGCTTAATTAGTGACAGTTAATTTCCTCCAATATTGTGATTTATTTAGAAAATATAGCTGTATAAATCAGATACCAAACATCTATTCAGTCAGGCAGGGTATAATCTATATCATATGTAATATCCACGGGCAAGTTCAAGACGTGCTCAGAAATTAACCAAAAGATCCGCTTTTGGTAGTCCATCCTGTCTGGATATTTCAGCTCCACAGCCCTTTAAGCACTTGGTCATTTTATTCTTGCTTCAAAACTACCCCAGGCTCTGCAATTTGTAAATCCACTGAATAAAGCACAATTGGCGTCTTTTATTTTTACTGTTTATCCAGATGTAGGCCAAATCAGAAGCACATTTTGAGAAAGCAATTGTTCAGCTTTCCATCAGGGCTTGTTACTGCTTGCCATTCTCTGAACACTAAGAGGAAATTGTCCCTGGAGAATGTCACACAGAGTTTTTGCTGTTCACTGCTTGTACAGATCGACCATCTACTTCTGTGCTTAATTTCCCTCTCAGCACCTAGAAGCTCCTAACAAGTAAAAGAAAAGTCTTAAGTAAATTCTCCAGTTCTGGAGCTATAAAATGGTATTACTAGATTTAAAAAAGAAAGCACAATACAACAAACAAGAAAAAGGTAAAGCAAGTGAGCCAGACAGCTTTGGATCCTTTCAGTTTTGCCATTAACATTAATGGATTSGTCTCCACTTGGTTAATCAAGGCAAAACCAGAAAAACTTTGGATTCAGGGACAGTAAAATATAGAAATACCAGCAGTTACCAGATAGGCTAGCATAAAACACACAGATTTATGCACAGCCTTGTATGTGGTTTCTGCATTTTTTCTTGTTTGGAGATTACTGATAGAAGATACCACTTACAACAGTGGGAAACGGTCACTTGAAGAACACAGGCTGAGTATCTTTTCTTTTGATATTACTTCTTTCTGAGTTTTTGACAAATCTGAAAAAGGCAAAGCCAGAAATGCCTTGCATCTTGAAGGAAGAGGAAAACCGAGTATGAACTAGAGTTTCCATTTTAATTTCAACTATGAGATGACTGGGGTTCATTAAGCTTTTGATGATGCATGACATTTTCAGTGTTGTGCAGTCCTTTTAAATTCATTTGGTGGTTTTTATTTGGATCTTAATTAAGAAGGGTCGAGTTCTTTGTAGAGTAATACTGCCTGCCAACATGCAGCTAAATTCAAACCACACATCAATACTTGGTGAGAATAAAGCTTACAATCTAAAACTAGATTCAAGTACTTTAATAAGGAACTTGAGTTTTGGAAATGCTATGATTTGGATTCTTCCACCAATACATACTTTTAGAAAATCATGCAAGAGCATGCAAGAAAATCATTCAAAAGTGTGAGCAGAAACATTTTTCAGTATCTGCTCACTTGCTTCACACACTGCACGTAGCCTGAAGCGCTATGTTTTAGCTGCTAGGATTGTCAATGGGGTCTTCAGTAGGGACAAGTGTCAACCATGGGATTTGAACTGACTCWTGTGTCCTGCTTAAAGCTGTTCAAAGACAAACAGACCACTCTCCCAAATCTGAAGAAAACTAACTCTGATCTCATCATATATTTAGGTTCACAAGCCTCTGCATTAATAACATGCAGCAGTGGGTGACTGTATGAGATTATGGAAAAAAAATGTATTAATTGTGACTAGTAATTTTTTTTGCCTCATAATCATCATGTTTTTTATGAAACTATAACATCAAGGAAACTAAAGAGTTGACTTACAATTAACTTGGACAAACATCACAGCCTCATCATGCCCAGCAACATTCTCAGCCTTAACTGAGACACGATAAATCCCGGGGTTCTCGTAACGGTGACGAATTGGTTCTCCAGTCATTGTGAGATTCACATATATTGCCTTAAATCCATCTCCAAGATCTACCTGGTATTTGGTATTCAATGTATCACCCTAAAAGGAGAATATAATAACAATGTTTTAAATGACCAGAACTTAAATATACCGTATACATTACCATCATTTCTTGAATTACAGCAGTATTTCTAGCACCAGCCAGATGTTTTAACTCAATTGCAATAGTTGCAGTAAAATCATGAAATCCATTACAAAGATTTTAGAGCAACAGATGTAATTCCCATTAATAGGGACAAAATTCATCATCCTCAGCAAGGCATTGTCCTAAATAAAAAAAAAAAAAAAGACTACTAACAAGGCTGTAGGAATTCCACAACACAGAAATCACCTTTGCCTCACGTGTCTGGGCATTAACTAGCACAACAGTGCAAAGCAACCCCAAATCCTAGGGTTATGCTCACACGATTGCAAACAACTCAGTATTGGTGTTTAGCAAATTATCACTCATCAGTGGCCTCTGTTAATTGACCAACTCTGAACTTCTAACCCATGAAAACATAAAGTACAATTAATTGGTTTAGATCATCTTCCCGGGACCTTGTAATTACAGCCTCTGCACGTCCACTCTATGGCCTTTAGGACCCAGCGTAGTACGCTTGCAGTGCATTATATGGAGCTACTAGCACGTTTAGAACTAATATGTTCTATTACGAAATTAGCTATATGCTTAACAAAGCAGAGAACAGATCTGAGTTTGGAAAAGAATTTAAAAATCCAACCAAGTTCTATTCTCCAAGCATGTCAGGTACTTTATAATTTATTGTACCTTTAAATGACACTCTCTTCCAAAAGTCAGACCTAAAAAGCTACTGATATTGCCATCAGAGGCACCATCACTCATATTCTTACAGTGGGGCTGCTAYAGATTAGCACAGTATAAAGTCAGGCTTGTGCCATGTGGACTGACTATGTCTATGGAGACAAAAGAAAATTCATTTTAGCTCTCAAAAGCAATGTTTTCTTAAACCACGGCTCCAGCAGCAGCACTTGCTTCTTCCTCTGCTGTCTGTAATATGTTCCTGCTCTTTTTGCCACTGTACAYTGTTATCACAGTTGTGCAACTGAAACAGGTTGTGGGGCCAGACTTTGTAGAAAATCCTCTAATATTGTAAAAACAGTGTTGGTTTGACAATCCTCATGGCCTCCAGGAGAAGAACTTACATAYCCCTGCTCTTGCCAGGTGCCCTGCATGGCAATCAGACTAGAGAAASATTGCAACCCATCAAAGTATTCAGAAACCACTTCACTTCCACATGAGCCGCTCTCTGAAATAGGTTTAGATCAGAACTTCATCCCCACAGGCAGCACTGATGTAAAATCAAAGTAGGCAATAAAGCCTGCAACTTTCAAACCCGTCTCTCACACAAGGGAGGAATACTTTTTTGGAGTTTTTCTTCTCCTTTTATTATTTTGCAGTTTCATTGATTTTCTTCCATATGAAAGAATGCTTGTAATTTAGGAGAATACTCATAATAGGAAACCTGTGAAAGTATCAAATATCTGAACCYCATATTTTAACACAAAGGACTTTTGAAAGGGCCTTCACTGTGAGATTTTTTTTTCCGCAAATATCGTCTTTCTTATGACAACAGATAGGTAGAATTGAGGCACATTAGRCAATATATTATTAGTAGAAATATATATTACTCGTTAAGAGATATCTTTTTCCCAACAATATGACTGTAAGCACAGTCTCTTTAGATGACGTTAGCTTACAAATTGTTCTTATGCCAATAAGAACACACATATTTTCTCCAAGTGACAGAGGAACAATATGAACAGTATGGAGAGCCAGTAGGTGCAAGTTTCTCTTTATGTTTTGTTCCAACTTCTTTCCTAATGTAAAGATGAGAGCTCAGTGCTCAAAACTTTTTTGAACCAGTCTCCCTGGTCTGAGAAGAAAGATGGTAATGGACAGATAATRAAAGACTCACATAGGAAAAATGTAGCTAAATCTAACACTACTGGAATTTCCCATCAATCTCACTGAAAATAGTTGTTTTCATTTGTTATTTATACCTSCAGCTATTCCTAGCTCCAGCTATATGGAAAAAAAAAAAAATATTATTTCTGAAGTCACATTCACAAAAAAGAGCCCAAAAGGAATGGACACCTGTTTTCTTTACTCCTTCACGCCTGGCATTTCTGCACCTAGTACCAAGCACTCAAATAAACTCGTAATTTAATACTGGTCTTTGGAGAGATATAGCAGCATGTGTCAGTTTAATCTTAGYGGACCTGCTTCTTAAACTCCCTACTTGTTATGAATCCTCACGAGATTGCTATATATATTAAATCTTACGTTCAGCACATTTGAGTATAATATTGATTCTTAGCCATAGAGGGCAGCAAACTTACATTTCTTGCAAATCTTTATCCAGTCCTATGTACTGAGCAAAGATAYGACCAGAAAAGCAAGCATGGGATTCCCTTTTAGACCCCAGTTTTTTGAAGATTTTTTAAAATAGTTAAAAATGTTTTATATATTGCCACAGAAATTCATGAAAACTTCACAATCTATGCAATAGGGAAAAAAGGTCTAGCTGACAATCAAAATCATTAATTACAAATTACACTCAAATGCTCTACACTTATAGCAAAAATGCCAAAACYAATTAAGAAAAGAGAAGTAAGTGTTGCTTGCCGTGCAATTGTCAGTGCACTGCAAGCACTTGGACCTAGAATGCGCTACGTGTTAATGTGTTAGTGTTAGTACTGTGTTAGTACTGTGTTCTGCACATACCCCTATTTTATTGATTTTATTACAGAAATAAATCCCAAGTCCCTCATATATATCACACGGGCTTGCCAAAATGTGTGAAGTTACTTCAAGCTCTTGCAAATCAGTGGGGTCAGCCAGGCTGTACAACACGCCTATTGCCTGAGCGCCACAGTTAGAACCTCATATCTAACAACTAAGCACTACCAGGGCAGGCAACTATCCAAAAGTTGCATACTGCCTTTTGGTCAGGGCTTTAGGGTGTTGTCTCTTTCAATAAACAGAAAAAAATATATACGTCTTTGGCTATACAGCATAAGGCATTACACACATTCTTATGCTGTGTTAATTGTTCATTTACTTTCTGTAAGGTTTTGTTCGATTCCTTTTGGAAAGGCAGATTTTTAAAAAGCACTGAAATCACAAGATGATGTACATATCTTCTCTGATATAACTGCTGAAATTTTTGTCACAAGACGACTTTGGCATTTCAGCTTATTTGAACTGTGTTTTGGCACTTTAGTTTCTTTGAACTGGGGACTTTGCAAGAAGCTAATGTCTCGAGGGAACAATGACTGGACATACAACAGAGGGCACAAATCCTGTCTTGTGGACAGAACTCCAGGCTTCACTGAGTTCACTGGATCATCAGAACAGAATAAAAGTTTTAATACTTAGAGACTCATTCGTCTTTCTCTCCAGCACTAATTAATCCCATATATCAGCAAAGCATAGAGAAGAGAAACTGGAATCTGCAATGAACCCTAAACACAGTGAGGAAACTTTCACAGAACCTTCATTACTACCTGCTCTTGTCTGACAATGAAGGTGATGTCTTCCCCAGGCTTAACAGCCAGGCTTTCTCCTCTGATGCTGATCTGGAGTCCTTTSGGAGCAATCAATGGACACATATGCTGTGCTAAGTTCTGCTGCAGGTCTACACCACCTTCACACACATTAGAAACAACTTTCCTGTACCTGCAAAAACAGTAAGCAGTGAGCACAGTGAATTGGAGGTGAGCAGAAGAAGGTTTTCAGAGGCACTGACTACTGGTGTGACACGAATAACACCTTGGTTCATCAACAGACAAGACTGCGGACAACTGAGAACATCTCACAATGCAAAAACTTTATGATGGACTGATGGTCTCTACTAAGGCAAATCTGTTGAAGAAAGRGGGCATGGAGCAGGATGAGGATTTCCCTTCCATGCGTTGGAAGGGTCAGTCCTTTCCAATTTAAAAAAATGCCTGATCAGACCACCAGGAACTAGGTGTTCCACCATCCTCTGTCATACCCTTTATCTTTGAACACTCTGTACTACACTGAGAGGTCTTGGCTCCTGGATTTTGACGACTTGGACCTTAAGCTTATCCTATTCTACCTGTGCATTAAACGTGGTTGCTCAAATCCTAAGGATCAGGAAAGAAAATCAGACCAAGCAACTTCTGCATTTCCCCAGGACTAATTACTTAAATGCTACTCTCAAATCTATGCATTTCTTAAAATACGTAAAGCATTTATTTTATATAACTGTCTAAAAGAGCAAAACTCTCACATTTTTCAAAAGCTAATAAAGAAACACTTGGAAGTGTTTACAGATCGCTTCACTCAGGTAACTTATTTTTAAGCATTCTTTTGAAATCTGAGCCAGATTTTATTTTTCTGAATTCATACTTTGTAAATCACAGCTGTCAGTCACAATGAAAAAGGTATCATTTTCTTTTGTAAGGCAAAAATACACAGAGACCATAGTTCTATTGCCAGATTTGACATTTCATCCTTTGATTCTCATCTCCAGAACCGACAGAGATGAAGTTACGATACGCCAGAATAGATGCCAGCTGCAAGTTATTCTCAGCGCTGATGTCAGACTACGCTGTAGTATATATTCTATGCGCTATTGTTCATGGTTCTCTAAAGCTTTCCTTTGATTCCGAGTGTCCCATGTGGTTAGGGAAAGAATCTTTGAATCTTTTCTTTATAGGCTTTTTTTTCCTCCCTATGGAAGTGAGAGACAGTTGGAAGCTCTCTTGGATGTTACTTATTCCTTACTCTCATTCATTGAATTCATATTGGAAATTGGTCTGAATAAAAGCAWGATATTTAAATAAAAGGCTTTGAATGGTCACCACTATCTGAAATCTACTGGGAAGAAGAACATTYTCCATCTTTTCAAATGGGTTAGTTTTTGAGCTTCTGTGAATATGCAAAGTAATATTTCTATCTTTCATTACTTATGCACACGATCTAAATTGCACTCTGATCAGCTTACCATATTTACTAATTTTTACAGCTGCCTTACTTAAATTTCTTAAAACCACTTTGTGATTTTTGTTTGGAATGTTTGCCTCCACTCTAGAAATCTCTGGAAGATGGAACATAAAATCAACTTACCCAGTGCTGCTTGTATATGCCTGCCCCAGCACACAGTCTTCAGGAGGTGCTTCTGGGTTAAACCAAAAGTCAGCAAAGCATTTACTAGAGTCTGGCTTCAGAGCTGCAGAACGCTCAAACCCATAATCACTGAAAAAAAATCAAGACTGAGTGTGTTACTCTCTATGCTTTATTAGCAAATCTAATTTGGTGTGGATGAGGCTACTTCTTTAAGAATAAGGGAGTTTTTGTAAAATTATCTGCTACCAGATAAACATACAATGATGAAGCCAGTTACTTTCTAAGGGTAATTTCAATGGGAGCTGTGTACATCTGCAGGCAAACTGGCTGTAATTACTTTCTGAGTTCTGCAAAATTAACTGTCTTGGTAGCTTAGATTTTTAAAAGGTTTCCCTTGCCACACAAACTAACACACATCTTCTTTTGCTCCATTTGCAAATAGAAAGAGTTTGTTTGTTCTGTAAATCTAACCCAGTGGTCATTTTTCAATTCTTAATGAATACAGAAAAGCATGAAGACTTGTTCAGTTAGGTGGAAAAAAAATAAATGCAATGTTTTTGAGAAAAGCAAATACAAATACAGCTCCATATTCGACTGCACTGTTTCTTGGTTGTTTGTAGGTTGTTTTGTGCAGAGTGAAAGGCAAAAGGACAGAACCACAAACACCTCAAAGAAACATTTTACTACTGATAAATCTAAAAGTGCRCAGACAGACTCACCATAAAAAGTCAGAATTCACACATTCACAAACTTTGGATGTGAGAGCCGATGTGAAACTCCTCCCTTTAATGCACCATGATGAAATCTTCCTCTTCCGAAAGCTCCTTTGTTGACCCATGATGCAACGATCACCCTGAACATCAAAGCACTGGATTTATTGCACGCCATTCCCTACACCACACAGACACGTTCTTATGTTGTCATGAGAAAGGTTGGTTTTGCTGCCAAGACTATAAACTTTTATCGCATCTCTAGTTAATCATCGATACAGAGTAATCTCTAGCCAGTTGCCTATGACAGACAACACTAAGAATGAGATCATTGAATTTGAATCTTGAAAGAGCTTAAGGAAARTAGACATATCAAAGCAGGAAAAATATAATTTCAGAATTCTCTCAGATAAGTCTGCTATTCACACGACTGTCAGAATTTCCCTTGTGACCCATGGCATACATTCTTCTTTTGACTGAGTGAAGCACATGTGCTTCAGCCCTCTCCCTTTCCTCACCTCCTCACTCAGTCTCTAAGCTGAACTTGCCTATAAGCTCTCACATCCACTCCTGTCTGCTAATTAGAACATGGCAGAGTTGCAGAATATTCCCATCCATTAAATTATTTCTTGGGGAAATATTTATCAGAGAAATATCCAAAGACGTKCATGGAAATTCAAGTGCAATTAAACCTCTGTTTCATGTGTGCACAACCCAGGCCCAACTGTATAACTGGCTGTTTAAATRCACAGGATTTGCTTCAGATGGCTGAAGTTCTATCTAAATCACCATGAGTTGGGTAGCTAGTCAAGAGGAAATACCAGGAAGATGGGTGCAGACACAGTTCAGATTGAACCTAACTCTCTACTGGTAACTGAGCAGCTGCAAGGAYTCTATCAAAGTCATTTTAGTAGTTTCTAATTTCTGAAAGACACTTCAGTGTCAGTATCCCAAAATACTTTTAYTGTTTAGGTTCTGATCTGCATAACATTCTTAGTGAATACAATTCACTCCCAAATGGAAAGCATAAAATTAGGCATGAGAACTAGCAAATGAGAGTTTGGGAGCTGGAATAATACTGAACAGCATGCAAAAAAAAGAAACCTGCAGAGAGAGAGAACAAATGTACTGGAAGAATTGTAAACATAATAATCACAATGATTATGAACAAATATGAGATATCACGCTTAATGTAAAAAACTCACATTGGGCTCTTTAAATAACGCRTTGTAAAGAGACTATAGCTGCTCAAAATTGAATTTGGACAGAACGCCAGGATCAGCACAGGCTTAATGCATTACTGCAGCAATGGTATTGCCCAGAACAACTGGACTCCACTACATGACTGTCCACAGAGATTATAAATTACTTCTGGAACGGGTCTTACTTATRGCAATTTCAATATGAGTACAGTATTCAGTCAGGGAGTTGGCAGAACATACAATGGCTCGTTCAAATTGCTTCAATCCATATTACAGCTTTTAATTTATGGTATATGCTTGATAATCCAGCAGGACCACCTATTATTTTGGCAAACSCCCAAATACACTTCAGTCTTTCCCAGGCTACAGTTCACACTAATAAAGGCAACACCAAATGTTTGGCCATTTTAAACTGTTCTGAAAYCAGCACATACCAGCCTAAGGAGATGAAAGCCAGAGAGGTGGCATCCCAGTTCTATTAGGAAACATTTTCATAGCAGACAATTTTACATAAATCTGAAAGTTCCTGAAATAGGATGGCCTTTTAATATAAGATCGTGAATACCTGTAGATTTGTGAGATCCCAAGATTCATAGTCATCATCAGTGCACTCCCTGGGGAAGGATGGTCTGAAGTCTACCTTCACCAGTTCCCAGTCGGAACGGTAACTAATATGTCCAAAGACTCTGAATAGAAGATCAAGAGCAAGATCTTACAAGAAAGAAATACCATACATTCGAGCTTTCAAGTTTTCAGTTGTCTCTCCTGATTTCCATTGGCACAATTCCTTACTAAAATGTCCCTGGGATTTGTTGTTCTAGATTTTGTTTTTTTAAGATATAACATGCCTACTTAGAAAACATTTGTTAGTTGTCCATGGAACTCTACAGTGAAAAGATAAAGTTTACTGATCGGTTATTTTTCTCCCCAGCAAACCATTAAATTCCTAGATAGAAATATAATACTTTCTCTAACCGGGAATCGAGCACTTATGTCAATTATCTTGGTATACAAAATGTATAGAGATCTCAGATCTTGACCAGAGGTCATATCAAAGACAATTTGATTTCCAGGTCTGCCATTCATTTCTATCATTATGGCCTAATAGCTTCAACTTTCTGTAACTTGCCTATCATAGCCTTCAAATGGCAATATTGCTACTGATCAAACTTACAGCAGAATTATGAAATTGTATTCATTTCCAAGGAATATTGTAATCGTGCTGGAGTTCACAGCACAGTTATTGTAAACACTGTGCTGAAGAACTCTGACTCTCCTCTTCCCTCCCTGAAAATTCCTTTTTGAACAACAACAAAAAAAGAGAACCTCCTTGCTTTAAAAAATAGGCTTCATTTCCAAAGCCAAGAATATCAAAATCAGATTTATTTCCAAAACAAATGGGTAAGTATGACATCCACCAACAAGTCAGAATGGATAAAGACTCTGTGTAAAAGTCAAATATATTTGTGGTTTGCATTAGAATGATCAGATTTATGTGACTTGTTTGCCAAAGAATTTAAGGCTGATCCTGAAGCCAGAAATTTCTGTGCAGTTCATACAGCATAGAGTTCATAGTCCAAGAATTCTCCAAACTAATTCACTAATTTTCCTCAGTTTTCTTCAAATCCAGACACAGCAAGAATGGTAGAGATTTGTAAAAAATACTCTGCACATTGAGTCTCTTCTTCACTTGTCCTGAATACCAAGGTCAAAGTAGAACTAGGATAAAGCAGAAGCATGGATATAGTGGATTCTCTGCAAAATACAGAGGCAACAACATTGCACTAAGACTGGTTCCCACCGGATGGACATGTAAATTCTAAATCTACCAGAGGCTGAACATCACAGAGAATGTGGTGTAGTAATTTCCCCTTGTCCGTCTTAGTGTCTCTGCTACTCAACCACAGTAAAGTTGTAGATACCATCTACAGATGGCTGCCCATATACACTTTATAATGACTGAATAATCCAGGCTGACAGGAAATTTCACCATCCCAAGTGCACTTAATTAAACAGAAATATGCATTTCTTCATTTTGTATTTTTTACTCTTTTCTAAATAAGCCTCTGAGATTAGGACTTAGATGACCTAGCTTCTTTCTTTTAAAATCTACCCATGGTTCAGTAGTAGAAACAAAATACAGAAGATCTAAAAACTGTAGCTCAGCTGTATGAACACACAGGTGTGTGGTCCCATTTTCCTTCCATTCTACAGGGTTGCCTTGCACTGTGAACGACAAGATTGGTTCCTTTTTCTGGTTCAGTTATGTCCTAAGAACTCCTGTCACCATATGCTCTTCCTCATATATAGTTACATATGCTATAAAGTGACTACTTAGGTGGTCTCATGCTTTTTACACAATGCCTACTTCAATGTGATCTGTTTTGCTGACAGGTATGAAGTGTCTTTTGCTTAGTAAATACCTGTTCCTTTTTTTCCCCCTCTAACTAAAGGAAGGCAGACTTTACCACGTGCTTCTGCAGCCAGCTGCCTTAGAGAATGCTTCTTTCCAGACCACAAAGCATTTCAAACTATTTGCATGTCTTTTAATAAATCACCTACCAACAAATATGTTTAAGCGCAAGGACCTAAGCTGTGTCAAAGCCTCACTCCTGAGTACAGAAGGCTACTTTCTACAGAACAAATGATTTTTTCTTCATTCATACTAGGTATCTCAGGCAGATTAGGAAGAGAGAGGGAGGGTATTAGTTCTTGGTTGGCACCAGTCAGCACAGAATGCATCTTCCAGTGACAAGAGAGAATCCACAGTTTCAGATAATTTCTGCCTTTCCTTTTTAGATCAAAAAAAATCATCTATTTATATTTTAACATTGTATTGGCATCAATTTAACAGCAGCCAGAGTAGAGCTATGGTTGGGGAAAAGACAGGTACAAGCACTTCTGGCCAAGCATTCAGACTGTAAAACAACTCTAAACAAAAGTGTACAATAAATAGGGAGTCTTACTGCTAGTTCAACTTTGATGTAATTAACATATAATTTACATTTGGAGAACTGGTTTGGGCTCTGAAGGAAAGGACTTTCTGTTGTAGGGTGAGATCCTTCCATTCAACTTTCATTTACAGCATTGCAAACATGTTTCTGTGTAACATAAGYGCTTATTTTAACACCAGTAAAATGAGGGTAAAAATAAATCTTTAATCAAAAGCTACACTTGGCAATARAAGTTGAGAACATTTAGAGAAATTGTATTAGTTCAGGACTGCAGGGAATCATGAAATTCTCCTGAAAAGAAAAAAAAAAGCTCTGAACTATTAATAATAATCTTTCAGACCTCATGGAGGATTAAGGTGATTCCAGAGGACCTAAGAGACAAATAATCTGCCTAAATATAAGGCAAGAAAAAGCATAAACTTGGGAATTATAGCGTTCACTTTAATGTCCACAAAGATAACCAAATGGCTCAACCATCCATTTATAGACACCTTGGAAATAATTAAGATGATAAACAGCCACTACTGATTTATTCAAAACAAATCATGTCAAACTGATGTAATTTTCTTCTTTAACAGGAAAATAGGTCTAGTGSATAAAAGGATAGGAGTAAATGGGGCACATTTTGACTTTCCTTAAACCTGCTAGGCAGCTCCAGCTGATATTGTCTTAAATGGAAACTGTATGATGGTTCCATAGTCAATGTTTTAAAATAATAATTGTGTTGTCAAAGAACAGACATACACAACTTTTGTGAATAACATAGAATGAAATTATTGGAATTCAAATTACACAACTGACGGAAGAAAAAGCTGCCTTTTCCAAAAGGAAAAGTTGAGGAATTATGGTGAATTGTATCAAGAATGCAGTGTTGTTACATAAGAAAAACTAATTCTAGGTTGTATTCAGAACTGTCAGATATAAGACATGGAGGTGATTATTTGGATAAACTTGGCAGTGGTGGAGCCTCTGAAAGAATACAGGGTCTAATTTGGGATGTTACATGCATATTTAGGGACTCATTGAAAATGGACTAGAGGAGGGGCAAGAATGACTCATAAACTGTTTAGAATAYGCAACCAACAAAAAAAATGAAATAACAGTTTTTCTGTGGAAAAGATAGAGCAGTAAAATAAAATGTCTTCAATTGGTCTTGCTATAGACTGAAATGTCTTCAACGAGACCTGAAATAATGGCATAAAAGGGGAAGGACAAAAATCAGGCTTAAAAGATGTCACTGAAGAATTCTGAAATAGTAACGTAATGAGCTACTGAAATTGCCTATTCTCCCTTACAGGAGGGTGGAAATACAGAAACATCTGGATGACAGCTAGGGATTTGGTAATATTTTAAGATATCTCCAGCTGAAGATATAGTAATTTTATTCAAAAAAAAAATTACAGAAAATGCTGTAGAAATTTTGGAAATTCTACTGTAAAAATACAAAAGACACAAGCAATATCCATGTGAATACAGCAAAGGCATTGATTTTACTGCCTTCGCTGGATTAGCTATAAGCCTCTCAGTGGACTTTTGGCAATAGAAAGAGCACTTCTGCCTGGCAGTCCAGTCTCTTGTTGACAAAATATTGATTTCTATTATGGCTTTACTAATTCTACATACCGATAACCATAATTTGACAGAACACAGGAACTATACTAGTGATCCAACCATTCTCTAAGTTAAAAAAAAATCATGAAATTTGATGCACAGTGTCTCATTGACACAACCACAAAAACATCATGTTAAATGCAACCACACAACTTTGGGATTCAAAGGAATCAAATATATCTTACAAGCATCCAGTTAAGCAAAATGTTTGAAAATCTGCCTGCATAATTATTAATGTTGTTGCTGCAACAACAGTTGTAGCCTTACTGAGGTCAGGAGTTTGACAACACATCAGAACATCCTGTTCTAACGTATAGCCAAGTAACTACTGTTCCAAAATAAGATGTTTTCCAAAAAGGATTTAATGTTTAAGCCAAACATACGAACTTCACTAAAGAATTGCAATGTGGCAGCCATAGTCTAACTGCTCATAAGCACAATATCTCTGTCCAATAAAATCATGAATGTGAAAAAAAAGGAATTGTGCAGCAAATGTAACTGATAAAGATATATATCAAGATGCTAGCAATTCATTAGCTAGTATAATTATTAATTATAATTATTATGATTAATTATAGTTCATTAGAAAGCCATCTTATCAACTCTATTTTAACTATGAAAGACAATGCTAAACAGTTTTTGAAGGAAATTCCAATGACTTCAGAACTTTTTTCAAGAATTTGAAATTTATAATTTCAAATTCACCATTTCAGTTGCCATAACAATTTTCTATGTTTGTTCCTACTTCATTTATGAGCATTCATTCATTTATACATCTTATTTTTTAATTTGATTGCGTCACTTGAAAGCCAAGACGATTTAATGCAGCTTTTATGCGAACTCATTTGAACTATTTGCTGGAGGAATTCTAGTTATTTCTGTCCCTGACAAGGTTCATAATCATGGCTTTGAGAAGTCTGTCTGACCTACCCACAGGATACTCAAAGCAATGGAGCTGACTGAGACGGCTTCACGTCACTGGTGAATATCTGAGAATGCTCAAAGATCTCGGAGCTGAGGAAATGGTCCTGCTGTACCACACCATGCTAATCATGAAAACAGCACATGTGGAATTTATTCAGATGTTTAACATGGCAACTTAAGTTGTCCAACTTTGGTGT